AAAAGCAATGCTGAAAACCTGTCCCCAAAATATAAAATTAGGTGACAGTAAGTCAAGTATGATGAATGTTTGATAATGTAACAGTTATTGGCGCGAAAAAAAATGTATTTCTATTTATCAAATGATTCTCTCAATATCAGAACGAGGCTGCTTCATAACTAAGCGAAAACACTGAGGAAAAAAAATATGATTCAAAATATGAATTGTTTATATTTTTTATCAAATCACTTCAAGTAAGGCAATAAAGCCACCAAAGCGTGAGGGAGTAAACGGAAGAGTGAGAGAACAGGATTCAAAGAGACAGCAAATGACAATTTTTTTTTATTTAATTTATTTAAAATCACCGTTGACAATCAAGAAAGTCGTAGGAAAGTTCCTCAGAAAATTGGATGAGAGCGAAGAAACTCTCAGAATAGAACTTACGGTTATATCTATCAATTTCGGCAGTGAAATTATGAGACCTAACTGCCAATCTAGCACTGCCCTTAAATTCCTGAAATCCAGATACAAAAGAAGAACGCTCATCAGAACAGTTGATTCATTTTGTTTGGCGGCATATCAACACCTATGGGTCATTTGATGCCGAAATCTATATAATTTGAACACAATTTTATGGCTTCAACTAAATATATTTTGAACGCAGTGGAATGCCTACAACTACAGGTAAAATGAATTGTTGGTTATTTTGCTTTAAAATGTATCGTTGGTCATTTTACTATAAGTATGTATTGTTGGTCATCCTTGGTTTGATTTGTTTTCTTTTACGGTATATCAACCTCAATGGGTTATTTAATGTCGACACTTTTTATTTCTGGTAATGTTTTTTTCTTTTTCAAAAATCTATTTCTGGTAATATTTTTTCTTCAAAAATATATCGCTGATAATATTTTTTTTTTTTTAAATGTATAGCTGGTAATTTTTTTTTTTTTAAATGTATTGCTGATAATAATTTTTTTTCAAAAATTTATTGCTGGTAATAAATTTTTTACAAAGTATTTCTGGTATTAAAACATATTTTTACACTTTCATAGTGTTTTGACCCCAGTTTGGGGTTAACAATATGCCCATAGCTGGGATCCTAACAGGTGCTACCACATCAAGTCGGGTTTGACCTGGGAACACCAGCAATTAAGAGGTGGTTCCACGCTCCTCAAAACCTCCTGATCAGAGGCCTTGCTGTTGGACGTAGTTTATCGTCTTACACAGGACGCGGATGTAGTTTATCGTCATACTCAGGACGGGGTCATTCTTGATATAAAAATATAATACTGTTATTTTTACTATAAAAATATATTGTTGGTCATTTTACTATAAATATGTATTGTTGGTCATAGTTTATATAAAAATGTAATGCTGGTATTTTTACTATCATTTTTTTTAATACTTTCATAGTGTTTTGTTTGGGGATTCACTATTTGCCTATAACTGGGACCCTAACAGGTTCTACCACTCCGGTCAGGGTGGATCTAGGGACAACAGTGATTAAGAGGTCTTATCAGAACAATTGCCTTACAAGTATTTATAGAAAAGACAGGAAAACCTACGTTACGGTAGGTGTTACATAATGCGAAAGCCGGGGACAGGGTGGATAGGAAGGATAGATAACGGTTGAACCCCCCCCCCAAAAAAAAACCTTAAGAGTTAAAGATCGTAATTGATCGGAGAAACATCCTCTCGGAATCTCTTAAAACGTTTTCGGTGGGATCTTCCTTTTTATCACTGGAACATGGAGTTAATTATAATGTTTCGTTTTTGTTTACATATCATGATGGGGTTTAGCTGTTAAAGTCTGAACTGTTGAAACTAAGAAATGTATTTTGTCTGAACATTTGCCTTGGAAATAGCGAAGAGCAGCCAAAGAATGTGCGAAATGGTTGTTAATAGAATAATTAATTAACCACAAGGCAGCCTAAACGCCTTTGAACTCCGTGGGGCCAGAAAAGTATAGATTGTGTTAGTTTAATGGCAGCAATAATCCATTTTGGGTCTGATCTGACACTTGTAATGGCGGAGCGTGTTAATGGCAATGGTATACCTGGCCACACGTATTCGAAGATACCCATGTACTAGGGCGCTTGCTCGGGCGTATTTGTGTTTATTCAACACCCACAGAGCCCATTTGTGTTTTATACTGCAACTATGCTGAGTAGACCTTAGCTGCAGTTTCTGGGAAAGAACGGGCTATCTAGCGTGATCAACAATTTGTACAAGGCCAACACACTCAAGTCTTCGCCCACAATAACTTCTGACTTCGTGCTAGCACAGCTATCGACAGCCCCCACCCAAGGCTTGGATCAACCTGTGGTATGATTTTCAGGCACTTTCCAAAGGTGCCGCATCCTGGGATCAACCCCTCCAGTCCGATAACATCAGGAAGTCTCCTTCCTGACAAATTGACCATGGTGAGATTCGAACCCGGGTCTCATGGTCAGAATGTGAACATTCTAACCACTGGGCTCATATTCTCTGTCTACCTTCCCGAAGTTTCGTCCGGGGAGGTAGAGAGACCATTAAACCGTTTATGCGGGTTCTAAGGGAATATTTTTGGCCGAGTCTACGGGCTCGGAGAACCCACGGTAAAATTGGCCTTGTGCCACATACATCCGTCGCGGCGGGGGTAGGTTCTTAAATATTAGCAGTGATATAGACTGAAACCTGGTCAACCGACATATATTCCCAAGTCGTGTAACACTCTTCTGTTGTATTTACTGTTCAATAAACGATTTATTTGCAACCTCTTGTTTTGTTATTTTTTAACCGTTTACTTGGTCACAACAGTTGATAAGCCGTAAAAAACAAATAGATTTACAAATAGAAGAAGGATAGCCCGACCGGGTTCATTTCCTTTGGGTTCTCTCTGGAGTGGTACAAGGGACTCTTTAGCGATGGATCGTATATAAGAAAGTAGTAATAACACTATCAATGATGACTTTAGCAGCTTTGAAAAAATGCGTCACAATAATTACCAATAATTCATCTGAGATTTGTTGAACGTATTTTTCGTGGATGTGCGGTGGTGTAATGGATAGAGCCTTGGAATGAGAAATGAGAGAGTTCGAATACCAATTGAGTTTGGTACGTTCACCCAGGGGCAAATACCATTGGGAAAGGTATAGATCCACCTCTTTCACCCTAAGGCAGGAGAGACAGTACCTTACACTCTCAATCTGTCTAGCAGAAGGAAAACTCTCATTTTTTTAAAAAAAATTTAAGCATTTCACCACAAGCAACGCGGGAGTGCCACTAGCATGCAAGGGGTTACAGAGAGTGAGAGCAAGAGTAAAGAGGGGAGTTTGAGGAAAGGATATAGAGAAGGACGAGGATCAGGATGAAGAAGATGTCGATTGATATTACATTTGAACATTTGAAGGTTATAGTCACCAAGGATATCAAGTAAGAGGAAGGGAATTCCACTGCCGGGAAGTGCGAAAGAAGAAGCTGTTAGAGTAGAAGAGACTGCTACATTTAAATGTTTCGACAGTGAAAAGGTGAGACGGAGATGCCAACGTAGTAGCACGCTTGAATTCATGCAGTTGGGGTACAAGTGAAAGTAGTTGCCATGAAAATATTTTTAGAAAAGACAGAGGGAAGCCGTAGCACGTCTGTGATGATCTAACTGGACCTATCACATTTCATATCTGGATTTTGAATTAAAATCAGCTACGGCTGCAGTACATGGGGTGACCTTACGAGTCTTATGTGTTTCGAGACTCGTGATCGTCGGGATTTGTTGTTATTCATGATGACGGTCGTCTTCGAGTATAGAATCCAGAGGTTAGCAGTGACTATTTCGAAGACAGTAGGAAAGCGTTGTTCAGGTTAGCAGTGGATATTTTGGTAAAAGTAGCAGAGCGTAGTTCGTCCTTCTGTTTCTCTTCGCCTGACAAGCTGGTCTGGACATTCGGGTAGAGTGAACAAAATGGCCGATTTTATACACGACGGTTTGAATGTTCTACGTCTTCTGATTGGTTAACCTTCTATTGGTGGAGTATACAGTGAGTTAAGTCATTTTGGGCTAACTCACTAGTACATAATGTATCCAAAATTTGTAACATTTGTATAATAAAAATGTCTGTCTAAAATAATTGTACATCATGTGAATCTATTGTATAATTGGTTTAACAGTCCACGACAGTCTGAGAGTTTTCTTTAAAGAACGCTAAATATTCTTGAATTAAATCATTTTTGATTATGCGTTCGATCGATTACTAACATTTTCTCAAGCTGCAGATCTGATTTGCTTTCAGCTATTTTCAATAAATATTTTCGCTTGATTTTTCTTTCTTTTTTAAAGAAATTAAATAAGAAGTCCTGTTTCAAGGCTTGTTTTTGTTTTCTGGTTAAACTACTGGAAGCGACAGATTCACAAAAGCATTAAGACTGGTGGTGGTGGCGGGGATGATTTAATGGCGATAGGTGGTCGGGAATTATCTGGAGAAGAGAAACGTTTAAAAGGAAAAAAGATATAAAAAAGAAAGAAATCGAAGAGACAGAGAGAGAAAGAAAGAAGTCTGGAAAATGGTGAGAAAGGCGAGATTGTAGTTATTATTGATGAAAATGAATAACAATATTGTTCGTGAAAAAAAAAAAAAAAAAAAAAAAGAATGATAGCAATAGTAATGACAAGAATGTCACCCACGCCCGAAAAAACAACAACGGTGAAATATCTGAAGTTTACGAAAAAAAAATAAAAAAGTGGGAGAATCGGTAAATGAATGGCGGCCAATTTGATTAAAAAGCGAAAAAAAAAAAGAAGGTAAAATATAGAAAGAAAAAAAAAACATTAAAAATACCGTGAATACGCATGTATTGTACGAGTTCTTTTAACGCGAAATACTGTGTGGGGAGAGGACGCACTGAGCAGTCAGTTATGTGCGAGACACGCTTTGGCGATCATGTATCTTTCGACACATGACTGACAAAGCAGTTTTTTTCCTGCAGTAGGTTGCCATTTCTTTCTGTGGTAGACCCATTGCCATCCAAGGCTATAGAACCCAGAC